TGTAAGAAACATTAAAATACATAAATTAATTTAAAAAAATTTATTTTTTTCACCAAAAATATCAAAATAATACACGTTAAAAATTATTTGATTAAAGGTAAAATATCCGCAAAATAGGACTGTTAGACGCAGAACGGGTAATAGTTCGGTTCGTACCCCCCTTCCTTTTTCCTTCCTGAACGTAATAAAAATGTTCAGACAGTCTTAGCTTATAGAACTCGTCGAGCATTGTCGAAAGACACCAGTATCAAATCCAGGTCTCAACTTTTGGCCGAGATACAGAAACCCAAAAATTGAAAAATAATAGGATGGACCAAGCTCGTTTTTGAATTAAAAAGTTGATTAAACAAATAATAACTCATTTGAAAGAGCTTGTCGAGTTGATTCAAATAACATAAAAATAAAAATTATTGAAAAAGATTTGACAAAGCTATGACGTAAAAGTAATCCTATTGTAGTCGTGAATGCTTTTGCAAAACCTTTCTTTTTGCGCAGGGTTTTTGTCTCTATCTCGGCCAATTGTTAAAACCTGGGTTTGATTTTGGTGTCTTTCGACACAGCTCGACGAGTTCTATAAGATAAGACTATCTGACCATTTTTAATACTTTCAGGAAGGAAAAAGGGGAAGAAGGGGGGGGGGTACGAACCGAACTATTACCCGCAGAACGTGCCAACACAAAAAATTTAGACGCGTGTTGGTCATCTTATCCACCTTCCCTTCCATCTTGCTTCCCATTTTTCTCCTCTCATTGAATGGAGCTGCGAAACTATGGTTCAAATCAAAGTTCCGAAATTTGGGTTAGCAGCGTATATTTTATTTTAAAAAAGCCCCTCGCCCGAGTTGCCATCAAAAATTTGCTGTCAATTGTCACTTATTTGTTAGAGTACCCAAATTTATAAAGAAAACTACGATTTTTGACCAAACGCGTCCAAAAAAATATTTTCCAAAAATCTTTTAAAAAACTTGCGGACATTTTCCTTCCACTCAAATGTTAAATTAAAACTTTAAAAAAATATATAAATTAACCAAAGCAACATATCAAAATTATGCTTAAATTCTTCAAGTTTAGAAGCTCCTTTTTTCAAAACTTCTGTCCAAAACTTTTATAACGTTGTTCACCAATCCAAAAATAATCACGCAATCCAACACCGGCGGAAGTGTTAAAATTGGCTTTAAAAAATAATTTTAAATTATAAAGAAAAATTTTAAACAAAACGGGGTCATTTTTAAAATAAAATTCCTAAAAAATCTATTTCCCTTCAAACGGAAGCGAACCCTTAACCCATAAGCGAAAAGGCAAAAACACTACCACCTAACCAAAGCTCCTCTAAAGGAAATATTAAAATATTAGAATTTAAACAAACTGTGAAGACGACCATACGAATTAAAATTTGGATTATAATGATGAGCAGGAGCATAATGATGAGCAAAAGACCGATTGAAATTTGAACCTTTTGTAAAGTTTGACGAAGAAAAATTGTTTGGAACACGTTGACGGTTGTTAACAAATGTCCCTAAACAAAATTATAAAAACAATTTTTACAAAATTTATACCATAAGAACTTCCAAAGTCAGTCTTTGAATTGCCCGAAAACGAAGAATTGAAATTGTCTAGAAAATTGATAAAATTAAATTGAAAAATACGCCTAAATTAAAAGAAATCCAAAAAAACTATTCTTTAAAGGAACCACGGGAAGATACAAGAATTAAAAAATGAAAAAAATATGGGGGCAGTTATTCTTCAGAAAAGGAGTAGGACATATTCAAACAAATTAATGCATTTACCCCTAATTTAGAGAGAATGTGTCCCAAAGAAATTTTGCGGCAAATCTGGTTTTAAAATGGAGAACAGAGGAACTACAAAAAACATCCAAGAAAAGCATGACAAATTTGTGGTGGCCTCGCCACAATCCAGACTTCACAAAAACATATTTAATAAAAATCCTATCACTAAAAATCTCCAAAAAAACAAGAAAAACTTACTCGGAACTCGTCCAAACGATTTAAATCGAAGAGAAGCAGGAGAAGGTCCAGGTGATTGCAAAACTCCCCCAAAATTGATTGGAGATTCAAGAATTGCCTGTTTTCCACCAGATAATTCCAAAGGCTTATTTTTAACTGGAGAAGCCATAAAAGGAACGTTTTTGGGTGTTTTCTGCTTTGAACGTTCAAAATTTCGAGAAGCGATGATTGATTCTGCCAATACTCTTGCATCATTACAAACTGGAAGACTGTTTTCGTTGTTAGCTGACATTTTGGAATGTTATTTGAAGTAAAATAAATTAAAATAAATAATTAAAAAACTCCTGAAAAAAGAATTAGGTCTAAAAAAATGCGGAAAGTCCGCAAAAATTTTTGCGGACAATTTATTTTTCTTCTCAAATCCCCCTTCTTTGGTAAACAAATAATCAAAAAAGGATTAATTTTTGTTTATAAAGATAGGAAATAAGAATAGATAATGGTATCTGGGAGATATAACTTTTATATAGTAGGTTTCAATGTTGTTGTCAGCCTAATTTGAATTAACCCTTAAGCAGTGGTGTTCCGAAACAAATTTTAAAACGCGAAAGACAAAAGGCGAACGGCTGAAAAAAGAAAATCCTCTACTTTAAAGGTAGCAGAGGTTGGTCGGAAATTAGGGTTGGTCCCCGCCCCGTCCCCGAAAGTCGGGGAATTTGGAATTAAAAACGAAACCGGAATTACAAACGATCTCTGGTAGGTAGACCTCAAAATCGTTATGGTTTACCAAACAATTTTTTCATGTAAATCGAAAGGTTTGAAATTTTTAAGTTGTTCTAGAAAATGATTCCTGTTTACAACTCTCATATTTGTTTATGGGTATACCAAAAGTTAATCCTTTTTGTTTGCTTGCTTGCCTGATAAAAAAAAGGGAATTTGGCATGAAAGAGGGGGCATAATAACGGCAATATTGCCTAAATATATTTAATTAGGTTTGTTCCCATGTTTAAAAAATACATTTTTTAAGGTTTCAGTAATTAAATAAAAATTAAAAGGGCAAAAAACCTCCCACCTTCTCCCCCTAAACTTAATTCTCCCCCTCTACTTAATTCAACATTTTTTCCACATTTTTGAACTTTTGAAAAACAAAAAATATTTATCGGCTAAAATTCTCCCTCTCCTTTTATTTTAAAAAATAAACACAATCATAAAAAGTCAGAACAAAAAAATCAGAAAATAAAATCAGAAGAAAAAATCAGAACATCAGAACAGAAAATCGGAAAAAATTTTCTAGGGAAAAATAACTTCGGGCGCATATTAGTCGTGTACCCATATTCATCTATTCTGGCGTTATATTTTAAACAAATTTAGAACTTCCCAATATCTTGCCAATCCATATTTTGCCAATCCTCTTTTTGTCAACACAACTCTATTGGCAAAACGTGATTTTTTATCCTTATTGGCAGAATATGTTTTGGCAGATTGTGAATTGAAATTTAATTTCGCTCGCCTTCTCTCCTAAATATGTTTAACATTCTCTTTTCTTTTTTGTTAGTGTATAACTTTTATAAATGGCTCCCCCACAAAAGATCCAAAAGGCTAAAAACCCACAAAAGACCCAAAAGGCTAAAAACCCACAAAAGACCCAAAAGGCTAAAAACCCACAAAAGACCCAAAAAGCAAAAAAACGCACAAAACACCCAAAAAAGTTTAATGGGATTTAAAAATTAGTAAGAGGACATAAGTGGATTTGGACGGACTAAAGTGAAGTTCAACGGAGGTGCGTGGCATCGAGGGATCAAAGGGAGGATATCGGTGGATATCGAGGGATATCGTAGGATTTAAAGGGATTAAAGGGGATATCGGTGACCAAAATAAATTTAAAAAAAAAAGATTTTAAAAAAGATTACAAAAAATAAATAAAAATCACTGTCATTTCCACTTACATATTAGATTTGTGGCCTAAAGAGGGCCGTTTAGGTCGGATCCGCCTATATTTAAATTTTCTTTATTTGAAACAACAAAAAACCTGAAACATGTTCTGGCAATTTCTCCTTCCTCGTTTTTATCACCAGAAAGCCTGTCTAAGCCTAGGTCCCTCAACAAAATGGAAAAAAATTAACATTAAATGGAAGAAAAACAAAAATAAAAACTTTTTTGGGTGTTTTGTGGGTTTTTTGCTTTTTGGGTCTTTTGTGGGTTTTTAGCTTTTTGGGTCTTTTGTGGGTTTTTAGCTTTTTGGGTCTTTTGTGGTTTGGGTCTTTTGTGCGGACACGTTTATAAATTAATCGGTAATCCTGCAGAATCTGGGATCCACTTTTAAAAACCTTTAAAACTGTTATTTTTTTCTGAAAATCATTTTATATAGGTAATCGACTATGCTGATCACGAATCCGAAAACAGATTTTGTCAAATATGATATTTTATCTATGATTTCTTATCATGTACTTGATTTTTAGCTAAAATTCTGTTGGTCATAACTTTGTTCAGAATCATTCAATCGAGCTCATTTTTGTGCCATTCGACTCATCTCGAAGAGCTCTTTCGAAAGAGGGGTCATTTGTATAATCGAATTTTTTGACCTCAAAAATTTTGAAATTTCGGGGGTCTGTAACTCGGCCAAATGAAGTCGGATTTCATTGATTTTGGTGTCGTTCGACTCAGCACGAGGAGCTCTTTCGAATGAGCTATAATTTGTATAATCGGATTTTTTACTCGAAAATAACCTTACTTCCCCCTATGGTTTTTCGATTTTCGGGGGCCTATATCTCTGCGAGTTTTCGTCTTCCGCAGAAAATTCTTGCATATTTGAACTCAGCATAGTCGATTACCTATATAAAGTGATTTTCAGAAAAAAATAACAATTTTTAAGGTTTTTAAAAGTGGATCCCAGATTCTGCAGGATTACCAATTAATCGTTTAAATTAATAATCTACACTCGTTATAGATTCAATTTATCGATTTTTATCTGTTTTCAAAACAATTGTTGTGAGTTTAATTTTTTTCTAAAATTTTAGATTTTTAAAGATTATTTCAAAAAATGGGAACAGTCTCACGTGCAGAATATTTAAAGAAATATACAACAAATTCATCAGAAAAACCAGAAATTAAAAAATCAACAAATTTATTGGAGTGTCAGGTTTCTCGTTTTAAATTTTAACAAATTCCCTTAATTTAAATTCAAAATAAACAAAAATTGGCTCTAGTGCAGTTTATGAGTCCAATCGAACCTAATTTCTATTTTTCTTTGCTTCAAAGCTGGGATTGGGTTCCGGGTGGGTAATAGTTGGTTCGTACCCCCCCCCTTTTTTCCTTCCTAAAAGTATCAAGAAATGGTCAGTCAGTCTTAGATTATAGAACTCGTCGAGCTGTGACAAATGACACCAAAATCAACCCCCGGTCTTAACTTTGGGCCGAGATACAGACAAAAACCCTGCGCAAAGCGAAGGGTTTTGCACAAGCGTCAAGCCAACGTAAAAGGATTACTATATGTCATAACTTTGTCAAATATTGTTCAATTAAGTTGATTTTAATGTCATTCGAACCAGCTCGACAAGCTCTTTTGATTGAGCTATTAGTTGTTCAATCGAATTTTTAGCCCAGAGATGAGCTTGGTCAACCCTTTTATTTTTCAATTTTCGGGGGTCTGTATCTCGGCCCAAAGTTAAGACCGGGGGTTGATTTTGGTGTCATTCTACACAGCTCGACGAGTTTTATAACCTAAGACTGCCTGATCATTTTTTGATACTTTTCTGAAGGAAAGGGGGGGGGTACGAACTGAACTATTACCCCGTTCCTTACCCTATTCATCTATATCTCATAAAGTTAAAACCAATTTTTATAACTTTCAGAGATTTCGAGGAATAGGGTAAGAAACGGCCCCAGACCCATTAGTTTTAGGTCCCAAATATGAAGAACTGCAAAGGAACCCAATCCCAGCTTCGAATAAAGAAAAATACAAATTTGGTTTGATTGGGCTCATAAACTGCACTAGAGCCCAAAAATTTAGGAAAATTCTCAATCTTACGAACAAGGCCGGTATGCAGAAACTCGCAAGAGAGTGACTGGTTTCAACAGAGGAAGAAAAGGCAGACGAGAAGAAGAACATTCTGAAGAAAATAAGGCAAAACAAGCAGAAATGGAGAAAAAATATTCTCTGTGGAATAAGGGATTAACTCAAATAAAAGAAAGAGAAGAAGAATTAGAAGAAATGCAACAAGTTTTGGGTGAAGGGTTTACGAGACATAAAGATGATGAAGCTTTAGATGAATATCTTAAAACGCAATTACGTTCTGAAGACCCAATGGCGGAATATTTTCGTGTTAAGAATCATAAAATACAAATGCGGACAGGAATTGGTTTGTTTTTTTGTTTTTGCTATGTTACTAAAGTGCACTTTATCCAAAATTTTATTTTTTGGTCCTCCTTTTTCCCTCTCCTTTTTCCTTCAAGGTATCAAAAAATGATCAGGCAGTCTTAGGTTATAAAACTCGTCGAGCTGTGTAGAATGACACCAAAATCAACCCCCGGTCTTAACTTTGGGCCGAGATACAGACCCCCGAAAATTGAAAAATAAAAGGGTTGACCAAGCTCATCTCTGGGCTAAAAATTCGATTGAACAACTAATAGCTCAATCAAAAGAGCTTGTCGAGCTGATTCGAATGACATTAAAATCAACTTAATTGAACAATATTTGATTACGTCTTTGACACTTCTATCCTTTCTCATTTTACGCTTACTTATTTTTTCTTAATTTTTTTCCTATTTCAGTTTATCCAACATATAAAGGCCAATGCCCCCCAAATCGTTATGAAATTAAACCAGGTTATAGATGGGATGGAGTTGATCGTTCTAATGGGTTTGAATCAAAAATGTCTTTGGAAAAGAATAAAAAGATTGCACATAAAGAATTAACTTATCGATCTATTGCTGAATGTGAATAATTTGTGAGGTTTTTTTAGTTTTTATATTCAAAAATAATTTAAATAAATATTTTCGATTATCTCAACTTTCTTTTCTTCTTACGCCTACCATTCATGATAAAAGAATGATGAAATTCAAAAAATTTCCGTCATTAGGGATGTAGATTTTTCAAGTTTTCCTAGATTAAAAAACTGAGACTCTCAAAAACCCAAGAAATTTCTCGATTCCAGAACCGAGAATCTCGAACATCGCTAAAGGAAAGAAGGAATGGGGATAGAAAAAATGGGGTGGATAGCACAAGAGTACCTATACGTTCCTCTAACAATCTTATAAAAAATTTTTTTTCACATAAAAATTAATAGAAGAAATTGTTTAAAATTTAAAAAGAAGAAATCATATTTTTTAATTTTTATTTCCATAGTTCATTTTATTTTTCTTCTTCGCGTTCGCTATTTTGATTAAACTCCCAACAGCCGGAAGAATTTAATGAACTGAAAAAATATTTTTTTTAATTTTTTGATCTAAATTTTTAATAAATTATTTTAAATCATTTTAATAAAAATTTCTAGTAAACCTCTATATAATGTACAAGGTCGCTTATATTGCGGTACGCAAAGTAGAGTTTGATATTTTAAAAAAATTCATTATTCACCCTCCCTCTCTTTTACCTTTCCTTCTCCTCCCCCTCCAAATAGCCACAAAACCATTTGCACTTTTTATCCATCTATGGACCATTTTGGCATTTAAACAGCCTCCATTGTGCAGAATTTTGGGTAATGGAAGAAAAATAAAACAATAACATTATTTTTAATTAAAGGCATTTTTAAACTAATCCTCACATTTTTTTAATAAAAAATAATAAAAAAACACACATCAACAACCCAATCAACTCTTGGAGAGTTTGCTCTAGATGACAGATGATTTTTGGCTATTTCTTTATTTTTTAATATAAAATTATGTCCGTATTGTTCTTTAATATATTGTGATGATTTATTAAATGATTTTTCCATTTCATTGGGGATATGGTCTGGATTGGTTATTGGGGTACGGAAATAGCCTGGTTCTACTACAGCGACTTTAACTCCAAAAGGGGATAATTCTCGACTGAAAATGAAATATAATTCTCTTTAAATTTTACAAATTCTGACCGTATTGTATCACAATATCCTTCCATTGCAAATTTAGAAACTGTATAGGGACCATAATAAGGAAAGGCAATTCTTCCACATATACTCGAACAGAAGAGTATACGGCCTCTAAAAAATTTAATATTTAAAACTAAATATTGACTGGACTTTTCCTTATTTATTTATGTATAATGCATAAGAGAGAGGTAAAAGTTTAACAGCAAGCTCCTGGCAATTATTGCTAAGGGCTTCGCTCACAATGTACAGCTAATCTACCGATTATTTAGGTTTCGGGGCGATGCCTTCACTTCCCTTTTAAAAGATTCCCTGGCTAGTACTAATGGATTCTTCTTCCTTACATTATAAACGAATAAAAATTTTTTTAATATTTTTATTTATTTTTGGAAAACTCTTTTCAAAAATCAGAATTTTGTCTAAAATTACCATACTTTTGCTAGTTTTTGGACCATAATTTGGTGTATACCTAACCAAAAATTCTGAAATTTTTAGACAAATTAGTTGACAGTATTGAGTATATCCACACAAAATTTCACGATTTTAAGCGCACTCTAAGCGATTTTACAGATTTTTTAACAAGCATAGTTCACCTCTACAATAACCTCTTAAAACTCCCAAAAATTAGTTTAAACTTATTTTCTTCAGAATTTCCATTAAAAAAATATTAACAAACTTTGCCAATTTAATATGTTCTTTAAATAATTTAGTTATTTGTATTAGCCCCAATAAATTAACTCTCAAAACATGTTCATAATCCTCCATAGCTAACCAATCATCTGCCCCAGCCCTTATAATTCCAGCATTATTTACTAAAGCATGTATTCCTGTGCCCGGAGGTAATTGATTTATTACTTGACGGAAAAATTTTTCAACAGAATCTGTTGAGGATAAATCGAGAGAATGGGCATGGACGAAACCAGAAAGGTGTGAAGTTGCTTGAACTACTTTTTGAACACCCTTAAAAAATAAATAAGTTGGCAGAAATCAGAATTTTGTAAATCAGAATTTCGTAAACCAGAATTCTTTTATTTAAATCAGAATTAGAAATCAGAATATTTTGGTTGTAAGTCAAAAAATAATCAGAAATTTGATCAGAATTTATTTTATAAAATCTTAAGTTAAAATCAGAATAGTCAGCAAATACCGTATTTATTCTAATAGAATGGCCGCCACTCTATTTTTCGATACCCCCAAAAAGGGGCCATTCAATTGGAGGGGCCATTCTAATGGAGGTGGCCATTCTATTTTTCATAGGTTAGAATCTGAGATTGGGTGAATCTATTGTCCAATCGAATATTTTTTGACTTCGAAATTCAATCGATCTTTATTGTAAAATTCTTTATTTTTGACTTTGGTTAGTGAATTTTCCTATTCGTATCACTATAAACTTAAGTTTGCCGGCTGGTAAAAAGGCAACTTTTGATTTAATTCGGTGCCACACAGTACAATTGGCTCTTAAAATTTATCGGGATCTTAGAATTTGGACGTAATTTATTGAAAACGGGAGAGATTTGGAGGGGATTGGTGAATTTGGAGGATATCGAAGGATTAATGAGTACTGAAAATTCTAAATTTTTAAAAATTTTAAAAATTTATACTAAAATTTTTAAAAAGATTAAAGAGTACTAAAACACTGAACTTCCAAAAATTCGAAAATTTTCGTATGGCTTCAAGGGATCCTGAAATTTCCAGAATTTTATCCCAAATCTCACTCAATCCATCATTATTCCTCAAAATCCTATGTCCCTTCAAGTCCCCTGATAAAATGAATGTATTCAACTAAGGTTGTCGGATAGTTGGAAATCTTCGGATATCCGGATCCGATATCCGTACCGGATCCGACAACCTTATATTTAACTTCCTTATATCGTCAAATTCATAAATATCTATTAATCCTCTTAATCCCTTGCGTCTTCATTAAATCGTTGTAATTTCTTGATATCCCTCCTAATCCTCTCAAATCCCCTAATATCCCCCTTAATCTCCCTTTTATGACTCCAGATTTGCTCGAAAATATTATGATTATCCTTACTAAAGTGTAATATTTAATACATAATAAGAAAATAAAGAAATGTATTCAGGCATATACTTAGTAGTTAAGAGGGCCATTCTATTGGAGGGCCATTCTAATGGAGGTGGCCATTCTATTTTTCATTACCCCCAAAAAGGGGCCATTCTATTGGAGGGGCCATTCTAATGGAGGGGCCATTTTATTAGAATAAATACGGTAAGTATAAAATCAGAATCTTATCTTATAAGACCAGAATTAAAAATCAGAATATTGTTTTTAAAATCAGAATTTTGGTAGGCCAAACAGCCAAATTTCTTCCGTTTTCAGCGCCGCAGGCAAAAATTTTGAGAATTTTTATAAAATCTCCAATATTTTTAAGTCAAAAATCAAAACGCCAAGCAAAAATATTTAAAATTAGCTGCTAGAATTTTTCCCGGTTTCCCGGTCAAAAAAAAGCCGGGACCAGGAACGGTGTCGCTGTAAGAATGATAGCTGGGTGCGGCGCGACGGTATGAACCGCACTGCTGTTGGGAGGTTGAATAAGACTGAATGAAGATGAATAGGAGCTGAGCTAGTCGGGAGGTAGCTGAGCTGAATGTCCCGGGAATCCCTCAATCTTCAAAAAGGTGATCCTCTCTAGTGGGCGAAAGGATGGAACCAAAGCTCTGTAGCAGGGCTGGGCGAAATCAAAAAATAAAAAGCGAAATGCGAAAAATGCGAAAGATGCGAAAGCGAAATTAGTTAAAAATTCTAGAAAAATTTTGGACATGGTATAGTATACCGGAAGCAAAATTTCGATAAGAAACACATACCATTCGATTTGTCTCGGCGAGATGAGTCGAAAGATACCACACTCTATTCATGGAACTGCCTGTCAACCGAGATATTGTCCCGAATATCGAAAAAAATAAGGGGCATTGCAGGTTCGGGGCATTGCAGGTTCGGGGCATTACAGGTTCCGATTCGGGATCGGGGTCATTATTTCAAATCCAGATCCCGATTTCGACCAATCCTGCTCCCGTAGTCGGGACCGGGATCAGGGTCGTTATTCCAAAATCCCAATCCCGATTTTAGGTCGGGATCCCGATCCCGCTCAACTCTATTTAGAATATGAAAATTGCTCGTACTCGTTTTCCATTTTTTGCGCCGCAGGCGAAAATTTTGAGTATTTCAGAGGTCCTTAAGTCAGATTACTTTTATTTTCTGCGCAGCAGGCGAAAATTTGGAAAATTCATTACTAAATTAAAATTTTTAATGTTTTTCAGGTTTGACATAATAAAAAAATAAATTTACAGATTTAAAATCAAAATCAAAGTTTAAAAACATTTATTTTTGGAAGGAAAAATTGTTTAAGTCTTATTTCCTACATCTGGATTCGAACCCAGCCCCAAACTACACCAAAGTGAACGTATTCAGTCAACTTAGCCACTCCACCATCGACCAACAAAAGTAAAATTGGGATAGATTATTGATATTTCTTCCCTTTTCCTTTAAAAAATTTTATGTCAAAATATCTAAAAAATAAAGAAATACTAAATGAAAAATGCGAAACAAATTTCGCATTTGGACCAAAATGCGAAACTTTTCGCGCCAAAAAATGCGAAAAATGCGAAAGATGCGAAAGCGAAAGCAAAGCCCAGCCCTGCTCTGTAGATTGGCGAGCTATTAGATTGCGGCTCTTAAATGGACGAGCGGGATGGATCGCACGCTCCTTAGTGGACGAGCGGGATCAGACACGCCTTAGGACGGCGAATTAAAGGAATACCAAGCAAAAGCGAATAAACAAAAAATAATATTTATTCAGGACCTTAAACTTGGGTAATTAAACCATAAAATTAAATGAGGAGAACACAAACTTAAGTTTGGCCTAATTAGTTGAAAAGAATTTAAAATGGATTAAAGGCCAAAACCTAAGTTGGAAAAAACTAAATAAAGCGCAGGTGGGGAAAAATGTGAATAAATGAAGGAGAAATTACACAGAGAAAAAATAGAGCTAAAAATAGCTATAAAACTTAAAAATAAATAAAATGATTAAGCTAATGGAGAAGCGATCAGAAATGGGGCTAGCACATAAGGGTGTCGCTAACATTAAAGTTATCGGGCAAAAGACAAACGATTAAAAAATAGACGGTGCAAAGGATCACCAATAAATTAATCAAAAATATTTAAGTCTTTTTCATCGCAGACGTCGCTTCGGCGACAAACGGGAAATGAAAATTAACCGGCCGGAAATTTGATACTTACTTCAAATTTGTCCTTTTTTCCTAATTTCTGTTTTATACGAATCAGGGATGAAAAACGAACAAAAGCTATGTAATTCTTGCACATGTTACCTCGACTAACTCCTTACATATCTAAGCCAACTATTATAGAAAAACATCAAAAAATTTTTCAAAAGTTCAAGAAAATAAAAATTTTTTGCATGGATACTAATTAAGACTTTTTCTATAATATCCGAGATTAATTTTTAAAACTCAAGTTTTTACGCCGAGATATCGAGTTTCAAAGATTTGTGGGCAAAAAGTAGAGCTAGGAACGGGTCCGGGACCCGTTTCCCGGTTTCCGGGTCCTTTTTCCCGGTTTTTTGAAGCGACCGGGTTGAAACCGGGAACGGGTTTTCCCGGTTTCCCGGACCGGGTTCCCGCCAGGTCAACTTTCAGAACCCGTTTCCCGGACCCGGTCCCGGCCATTTTTATACCGGGAAACCGGGAAAAATATTTAGTGTATTAAATCTGAAAAATTCTAAAAATTTTCGCCTGCGGCGCTGGAAAAGTAAGAAATCTGGCTTCTTTGCCTACGGACACGAGTTGAATTTTTTGTATACGGGTTGAATTTGTGTATAAAGGATGCTTTTAGAAAAGAAAATCGGCCTTCCATCCCATAAACTGTTTCAAGTAAGCAGTGTTTATAAATTTCAGATAGTTTATAAATTTCTTACTCGTACTTGTGAAAAAAAGCAAAGAATCTAAGATTTTTATGATTTTTTGGAGTTCAGGACACTAGTTTTAAATTTAAAGCGTCGTATGCAATAATTTTTTAATCTTGGAAAGCTTTGAAGCACATCAACCTACTTCAAAACTTTTTGCGCCGTAGGCGAAAATTTTGAGAATTTTGGAAGCCCGTAAGACAAATTACGGTAATTCCAAGGATTGTCCCCCCCCCCCCCCCCCCCCCATTTTTTTCATTTTTTCATTTTTTTTCCTTCCTTAAGAATGATATAATGGTCAATTTTTCTTCCTTCCTCAATTTCACTCCAGTTCCCTGTGGCAAATTCAAATCAGACATTCCTCTCAAAATAAGAGAGAGAATTCAAATCACATTCCTCCCAACTTTAATCGATGAAGAAATTAAGGATATAGTGTAGTTCACCGGAGGTAAAAGTTCGGGACTAGACATATGTCATTCGATTCGTCTCGGCGATCTGAGTCGAATGGTACCAGTCTCAATTTCAGGAAATGATTCTGGACCGAGTTATAGGTCCCGAAAAATCGAAAAACCATAGGGGGGACCAAGCACTTTTTTGGGGTGAAAAATTCGAAAATGCAAATTATACCTCATTCGAAAGAACTCGTCGAGCTGAGTCAAATGACACCAAAATCAACGAAATCTGACTTCATATGACCGAGATATAGACGCCTAAAAATCGAAGATCCAAAGGGGCGTTTTTTGGAATAAAAAATTTTTTTATACAAATAATACCTCATTCGAAAGAGCTCGTCGAGCCGAGTCGAATGACACCAAAATCACCGTGATTGAACAAGATTAGACAAAGTTATGACACAAAAAACAAAATACCTAAACCTATGGAGCGTCGGCGAGGCGCTAGTGCAAAACCCCGCGCTTCGCGCGGGGTTTTGCGGCACGCGCCTCGCGGGGAGTCTACGGGCGATGGGTCTGGGCTCGTAACGTAAACCTATTCCTATCTCCCTTGCTCTGGATGTATTTGAGGCCTCCGTAGCAGCAAAAATCTCCACAGATGCCATAGGTAAGGAGCTAAAATAAAAGATCATAACTTTGTCTAATCAAGTCGGATTTCGTTGATTTTGGTGTCATTCGACTCAGCTCGACGAGCTCTTTCGAATGAGGTATAATTTGCATATTCGAATTTTTCACCCCAAAAAAGTGCTTGGTCCCCCCTATGGTTTTTCGATTTTTCGGGACCTATAACTCGGTCCAGAACCATTTCCTGAAATTGGGAGTGGTACCGTTCGACTCAACTCGTCGAGACGAATCGAATGACATTTGTCTCGTCCTGAACTTTTACCTCCGGTGAACTACACTACAGCCGAAATTAATCCTTTCTTTGTTAATACCTCATATTTTGAGAGGAATGTCTGATTTGAATTTGCCACAGGGAACTAGAGTGAAATTGAGGAAGGAAGAAAAAAAATGAAAAAAAATGGGGGGGGGGGGACAATCCTTGGAATTACCCAAATTACTTACTTTTTCAGCGCCGCAGGCGAAAATTTTGAAAATTTCAACGCTAAAAAGTAGAGTTGGCCGGTATCGGGATTTAGAGAAAAACCCGATCGGGATTTCGGAATGGTGATCCCGATCCCGGATCCCGACACGGGATCGGGATTGGCCGAAATCGGGATCGGGATTTGGACTGGAGATCCCGATCCCGAATCGGGACCGGGATTGAAAACTCGGGATCGGGATTTACTAAAAAAAATTTTTAAAAACTTACAAATTTTTATTTTCTTTTTATTTTCCTCCCTTACGACTCAATACATATTTATAAAATTTTAAGCTGCAGAGCTGAAATAATGAGTTTAAGTCTCAACAGCGCATGATTTACTTCCCCGTTCAGTGGAGTAAGGAGGGATATAGTACTTTCTGTGGTTGCGGGGAGGGATAAATTGGATTGGGCTTCTTCATTTTTCAGCGCCGCAGAAATGCCTTAATCATTTCCTTTATCTGCGCCGCAGGCGAAAATTTTGAGAAATTTGGATGTCAAGAAGCAAAATTTCTTCCCTTTTCTGCGCCGCAGGCGAAATGTTGGAAATTTTGGAAGGCCAATAAGCTTGATTTCTCCCATTTTCTGCGCCGCAGGCGAAATGTTGGAAATTTTGGAAGGCCAATAAGCTTGATTTCTCCCATTTTCTGCGCCGCAGGCGAAAATTTTTCTTACTTTCAAGCCTCCCCTCTTTTGTTAACTTTATTTCACAGACTAGTAATCAATTTAAAAAGTCGGGATTTGCATCGGGATCTGATGCACATCCCGATCCCGGATCCCGGCTCGGGATTGAGATTGGCCGGGATCGGGATATTTATTTCGGGACCGGGATCAGAAAAATCGGGATTCAAAAAACCCGGGATAATCCCGCCCGATCCCGACCGGGATCCCGATCCCGGCCAACTCTACTAAAAAGTTCACTTCTTAGTGGTCAAAGGAAGATTTTTTAAAGAATTTTAAATCATAACCACTCGGCCACCCTCTCTCTCTTAATCCCCAAATATCATCTGGTATCCCTCCAATCCCCCAATACACAATATCACTCGTACTGCCTTTACACCGGTATCCTTAATCGTCTAAAATCCTTTTATTCCTCGATATCCTGCCAAATCCTCTTCCATATTCACTTAATCCCGCAATATCATTTCAAATCCTATAATATCCCTTTAAATACCAGTATATCCCACTTAATCCCACTTAATCTGCTGATATCTGTTCAAATAAAAAATCAAGAATCAAATCCTGGATCCAAGCAAAAATAATCCTTGATTTTTCCTTGACTCAAGGCCAAGATTCTGGTCAAGGTACCTAACTGAAATCAAGGTCAAGGTTTTTTTGAAAATCACGAATATCCTCTGGTATCATTTACTTACTTTAATAGAGGTTATTTAGAATAAGTATAGAGGGATAGATGAAAAATACAGCCCCATGTGGAAAAATACAGCCCCATTTCAACAAATTGAGAATTTCCTGGTTTCCCGGCCGGGACCCGCCCATTTCTAGACCGGGTTGAAACCGGGAACGGGTTTTCCCGGTTTCCCGGACCCGGTTCCCGCCCGGTCCATTTTTCAGAACCCGTTTCCCGGACCCGGTCCCGGTTTTTTCAAAATTCCTAGCTCTAGCAAAAAGATAAATGAGAGTAATGCTTTAAACGAGAGAGCAAGTTAGAGAAGCAGAGAAAATTAGACACTTCACTATGTCCGCTTTAACCCGCCGTGCACAGTTGGGGGCGCTACGACTAGAGCTAGGAAAGGGTCCGGGACCCGTTACCCGGTTTCCGGGTCCTTTTTGCCTGTTTTTTTTGAAGCAGCCGGGTTGAAACCGGGAACGGGTTTTCCCGGTTCCCGGAACCCGGAACCCGGCCGGTCCATTTTTCAGAACCCGTTACCCGGACCCGGTTTTTTCAAAATTCCTAGCTCTAGCTACGACACGGGCACAGTGATCCAATTGCACAGTAAGAATTGGAAACTTCATTGCAAGCTTCAATTAAATATTAAAAATATTCTTAATGATCTTCTAAAGTTTTTTATTCAATACAGAATTTATTTTAAATAATGTTACAACAACAACAAAACCATCACCCAGGAGCAGATATGTTTCTTCTTTTCTACATTAAACGCCAGATTGAAAAAGACTCTAATCTCGAATGGTTTGAAGCTCCTTATTGCGCAGAAGATGATCCCCCTCAAGAATGGTTGCTTCTCGAACAAGCAGCACTTATTTTTGAGAATGATAATCGAAAAGAAATTGAAGAAACAATGATTAATAGACTTGTACCTTTGGGAAGACTTAACTTTAGAAGCTTCCGAATGGTTTTTCTAAAAGTTTCAAAAAATCCTCAAAAATTATTTTTAAGATTGTCCGTCACTATCTAGACTTATTAAGTCAACGAATGGACAAATCCATTGCTTTGTTAGCGTTGATAGCTTTTACTGGGTTATATGCTAGACGATTAGCCGAATTGGATGCTTCACAATGTGAAGAAGAGGATGAAGAAAATTCTAATAAATTACCTAGAGATTATAGACGTGAAATTTATCAAGTTTCTATTTATGGTTCGGGTATTTTGCTATCTACGATTGAGGGTTCTTGGGTAAATATTGAAATTTTATAAATTGAGATAAATTGTAAGTATGGCCAAGATTAAAACAAGCTTTTTAAGTAAAAACTTGTTTCAAGTTTTAGATCAAACTTTGAAATTTAAGTTTGTAAATTTGAAGTTTACCAACTTTTCTTAATTATTTTTTAAAGACAACTTCAGGTTTAAATTGTTTTTATTTTCTTTAGGAAAGTTTCTGTACTGACATTGCGAAAGTTGTTAATCAAATTGTTTTACAAAAGCAACAACAATCACCTGCTCGGTCAAATAACAGAATTTATGGGCTAGCTGCAGTTTGTGGGGTTGGTGCCATTGTTGCTTCATGTCTTTTGATTCGTCGATTAAATTTTTAATGGAAATAAACTCGGTAATAGTCGGTTTCGTACTTTTATTTTTTTTCGGTTTCGTACCCCCTCTTTTTCCTTTCTAAAAGTATTAAAAAATGGTCAGTCGTCTTAGTTTATAAAACTCGTCGAGCTGTGTCGAATGACACAAATCAACCCCTGGTCTTAACTTTGGGCCGAGATACAAACCCCCGAAAATTGAAAAATAATAGGGTGGACCAAGCTCATTTTTTGGACCACTCTCATTTTTAAACAAATAATGGCTCATTCGAAAGAGCTTGTCGAGCTGATTCGAATGACATAGAATCAACATAATTGAACAAGATTTGACAAAGTTATGACATAAAGTAATCCTATTGAAGTCGTGAGACGCTTTTGCAAAACCTTACTCTTTCGAGGGTTTTTGTCTGTATTTAGGCCCAAAGTTAAGACCAGGGGTGGATTTTGGTGTCATTCGACACCGCTCGACGAGTTCTATAACCTAAGACTGACTGACCATTTTTAACACTTTTAGAAAGGAAAAAGAGGGGGTACGAAACGACTATTACCATAAACTCTTTAAATTTGATAAGTTAACCAATACGCGCCTAAAATTTTTAGTGTCTGCGTCTAACACTCCTATTTTGCGGATATTTTACCTTTTATCAAATAATTTTTAACATGTATTATTTTGATATTTTTGGTAAAAAAAATAAATTTTTTAAAATTAATTAATGTATTTTTTTATGTTTCTTAAACATTTTTAAAAATATTTTTCCAAGTATTTTTTCTAACTTCAATTTTTTTAAAATTTATTTTATGGAAAATTAAATGTTAATAAAATTTCAAAATTATTTGATTAATTCTTTTCTCAAAATGAACAACAAAAATAGTGTCAATATTTTAAATAAATTATCTACAAAGCCAATTCCTTTTGCTCAAACAAATGAATCTAATCTTTTTCAATTGCCTGTTACTTTAAATACTGATAAAGGGAAGGTGACAATTAATGCTGTTTATCAGGTTTATTTGTTAATTTTTTATATTTTTATTTAAATTTGGGAGCATAAGGTACTCGGGTTTCAATTTGAGAAAAAAGGGTAAACCGTCAAGATGTGTATTTTTTTTAGTTTTAGTTGAGTTGAAATTGTTTGGAGTTGAAGTCAAAATTTTGAAGCAGAAAATTATTTTGTTAATTTTCGCATTTCGGACCTTAAAAATGTCAAGTTTTCAAAGATTTTCTTGATTCGATTTTGAAAAAAGGATGGATATCACTCTGCAGGAATCCCTAATCCCTTATATAATGGAGTTTTTTTTTCCTTTTTTTAAACTAATTAAGGCTCTAATTTTTCATTTTTAAAAAATATTTTTAAATTTTTCAGGATACGCACCCAGATGGTTCTTCTCATAAAGGACAAACAGTTATAATGCTGCATGGATCACCCGGTTCTCACAATGATTTTAAATATATTGTGCCTCTTTTAACAATAAGTCCGAAAGGAGTGCGTTCTATTGTAATTAATTGGCCTGGTATGGGTTATAGTGAATGTTTGTTTTTCTTTTAAACTTTAATTATTAGGGGGAAATACAAGGGGTTTTATAATTTAAATTTTTAATAAATTTTTTAATCATCCCTTATTTAAATATCTAGTGGAAATATTAGTAATCCCTTTTTCTCTTCCTCCAATATTCTATTTTCAATAATAGTCTTTAAAAAAATAAGTATCAAAACAGCACTATTGATTAGTGACTGGCCCGAGACGAGATCTCTAACAAAAATCTTGGTTATCTGTGTCGATATTTCAGGTCAATCTAGATTTTTCGAGATTCTCTTACGATCCTCCCAGTCCTTGAAAATCGAAACTAGATTCTTAAGCCCTTTTAAATATTTCTATCTCACACCAATTAATTTAATTTATTTATTTTCTAGTTCAGATGATGACAATTTAAAAAATGATAATTTGGAAAGAACAGAATATGTCCAATCAATAATTAATTCTTTAAAATTACAAAAACCTTTAATATTTTTTGGTCATTCTAGAGGGGTAGAAAATGCTTTTAGATTAGCTGAAAGAAATGAGGTTTTACTTTTTAAATTTTTTAAATTAATTTTTTAAAAGGAAAAAACAGTCGGAATTATCGCTGCTAATTTTGTTGGAGTACAGCCACATATTGGGGTCCGTCCCTTTTTCGCAATTAAATTTCTTTCTGCTTTGTGGGAATTTGCTGGGTGGTTGAGGCTTCAGTCTGTGCTTGAACCGATTTATAAAGCTAGTTAGTTCTTTAAAAAAATTTTTAGGAAAGAATTAATGTCTTTATAATAGGTGCTCCTCTAAATCAGTGAATTATTGTTAAAAAATAAATTTTTGTGCCCCTCGAAATTTGACCGCTTCTTTTAGTTTAAAAAATATTTTTAATGAATTTATACTAAAATATGCTTCCAGTAAGTTTTTTGGAGAACGCTAACAATAAGTAGGATATAGAATAGTTTGAGGCTGAATAGTGCCGAGATTTTTATTCTATACACTTACATAATAAAGTGGAGGCTAAAAATAAGAGGCTACAACCGCCTGACTAAAACAACCAGTTTGATAAAAATTTTAATTTTTTTAGTTTACAAATGGGTTGGATTTAAAGTCTCAGATGGTTCCATTGCTGCCCATTCACTTAAAACAATGACAGCAACCGATTTCGATATCCAATTGAGATATTTATTTCCGTTAGTAATGAATCAAAAAATTAGAATATTATTTGCTTATTCTGGAGATGATAATATGATAGAGCCTGAAAGGAGTGAAGAATTGTTGGACAATATTGGATTGAAAGAAGAATGTCGATTGGTATATTTGTTGTAATATATTTTTTAATTGAGTCCAATATGAAAAGATTCCAACGATTATAATAAAAGTATTTAAAAATGAAAGGAAGTTGTATGGTTAAGTGGGTAAGGTTTTATCCTCCAACTAATTTTAAGGGAGGTTCGGTTCCGCTTGGTGGGAATTATTTTTAGCAGGCGTAAAATAATGCCTAGAACATATTTTTTTTTGACTTATAAGGCCTTACTTTATTTTTCAAAAATATTTCTTTTCTAAGATCTCCAAATCAAGTAAAGATGAACAAAGGACTATTGAAAATACTCGCAAATTACTGAATAAAGGACATAAACAAGTGGCTGTTTATTTTGCTGATGAGGTTTTTTAAGTTTTTTAAAAATTTAAGAAATATTTTTTAAGTCTCCAATTTAGAAATTGAAATATGGGAAAAAGCCTCATATTCTCTAAATTTCAGGGCCATTTTCTCCAAAAATTTCGTTGTAAATTTCTGGCCGAATCAATTATTGCAATCTTTGATGAGGCCGATAATAAATCAAAATTATAGAAAGTTTAACAAATTTATTTTAGTATTTTGTGACATTTGTGGACAAAATTTTTCTTGTAGATTAGTCTAGAAATTCAGAAATGGATTCAATAAAAAATTTTGGCAGCCTCTAATTGAATTTTGTAACCAAATATTTTTTAAATAAAATTGAGAACAATCCGGATAGCGGCCTCTCATTGTCAAATTATTTATCTTTAAAAATATTTGTCCACAAATGTCACATTATTTTTCTCTATAAATTAACAATTTCTTGTAATAAATTAAATCCTTCATTTTCAATATCTTCAAATATTGATAAACAAGGTCGACATATTTTTAATAAAAATAAACAACTTTTGTTATTAATTTCCTCCTCCTCATTTCTTTGAAATCGCCCAAAACAAAGGGTGCATATTTGCCCATTTCGTTCACTTTCAATTTTTGAAGAAACGCTCAAAATTGTGGATATCTTAAGTAAATATATTAGAATTAGATAAAAAATTTGGAGGAATATTTATTTCTTTCGAAGAAAAGTTGACGAAAATAAATTTTTCCCGTAGGGGTTTTTAGAAAAATAAGTGGAATTTTTCCTCATATAAATTTAAAAATCTCAAACCGTTGCGGGGAATCCATTATCTCTTAATGACTCAATAAAATCCTTTGCTAGACTTTGAACACTGTTTTCTTCTGTAAAATAATTTTTTAGAAAAATTTTAAAAATTGCGGACATCGCAAGTATTTGCAGACATACGCAAATATTTGATAATTAGATTTTTACCTTTTATAATGCCATTAATTCTTGTATTAATTCCATTTTCTTCAATATTCTCACAGCTTTCTATCCTGTCAAGTGCTTCCAATTCTTTATAAGAAATATCACGAAGTGGGCGTATAAATTGAATTGAATGATTGACAAAAGGAAGAGAATTTGTTGAAAGACGGTCATCAATAACAGAAGAAATATCAAATATTGAAGAACCTAAAAATAGGGGATCACCCCAGAATATCGACACCCAAAATATCGACACCCAAAATATCGATTGACCCAAAATATCGACACCCGAAATGACGAATTACCCAAAATATCGAATTTTTCAAATTTCAAAATTATGCATTCCAATGATCGGGAATGATGTTCCAACATCGGGGAATTGTGTTTTCGATCGACTGACCATATCGACCGATCAAGATTCTCCTTGGAGATCGATCACTCTTCTTTGATTGGACATATTGATCATGATCGATGTTTGATCCATTGTTGGAACAATTTCCCTATGTTAAAAAGACTTCCCCGTCCTTGGAATACTTAATTATGAAGTTTAAAAATTTTCGATATTTTGGGTAATTCGTCATTTTGGGTGTCGATATTTAGGGTCATTCGATATTTTGTCCGTCGATATTTAGGGTGTCGATATTCTGGGGTGGAGTCTAAAAATAGAATTGGCTTTGTTTAAAAGCTAAAGGCTGGAGGTTTTTGAAACTTGACGAAACTTTGTGGATTTCAACTGCCTGCCTTGCAAATGAATTTATTTAACCTTCAAGGGCGTAGTTAGGGGGTCGATTTCTGGGAGGTTAAAATTAGATGTACGCCAAAATTTTGGCGTTTACTTAGCGTTCCCCTGGCTACGCCCTTGTTAACTTTTAATTTGTTACACAGAATCAAAGACTTATTTTTATTTTTTTTCGACTTAAAAAAATTTATTACCAAACCTCTTCCAAAGCAAAGACTATTTATTGTTTCCGTAGCTAATTGATCAGCATTTTCACTCAAAAGCACAGATGGAAAGTTGAAATAAGCAGCGTAATTTGCCAAAAGTTTTGTACGAATAAGGCGAAGTAATTCAATACGAACGCTGGGTGAGCGACAATTGGAAATTAAATTGGAGAATTTTTCTAACTGAAAAATGAGAAAAATTTAGAAAATTTTTCGAGAATTTTTAATTTATTTCCCAACTAAGAAAATGAATTAAATTAGTGGCTGGCGAGGGAACCCACGAGTTATTTTTCAAGATTCCTCTCCTATGATCTTTACCAATTTTGATTCCGAAGGCTTGAGTATTTTGCAGACAAACATTTTTAAATTTCCAAATTTATTAAAAATTAATCTCGTCGGGAAATAATTTTTCCAAAAAATTACTTCCGTGTAAGGGATCCCATGAATACACTACCATTAGATTTTCAAAATACCCCCAATTTTAGTTAAAAAATTTAAAAAACCCCAAACATTTTCTTCTCCATCAATTCCCTCATTTCTTCCAAATTCCTTCGAAAAATGCTCAAATTTATTAAAAATAGCAGCCAAATGTCCAAAACGCCAATTCCATTTGGAATAAAATTTTTGTTTAATTAAAAATATTTTTAATAAATTTAATTGTTTATTTAATTCCACAGAATCAATTAAATCCTCAAAAAGAACCAAAACCTTTAAAAATTAATTTTAAAAAATTTAATTAAAATTTAAAAATACTTTAGCATTAAGCTTCAATATTCGATGATCTTCTGGCCCTGATATTGCTTTAAATGTTAAGTTGAGTAATTGAAGGGATTCTAGTTGCTTGTTTGTTGTGAATATTAAAAGAGCATTTCTCTGTTCTGGAGTCTGGAAAAAACATTATTTGTTAAAAAATTTTGTCAAGGACGTGATTTTTTTGGTTGGAAAAGTCCAACACATATACTATAGCTTTGTGTCTATTTTTAAATTTATTCTAAAGTTCAAAAATTGTAAAAATAAAGAATACTGGAGGGAGGTCATGGGTTCAAATTTTTAATTCCTAAAAAAGCAAAATACCTTGGTTCAACTCTTTTAAAATATTTATTTAGACGCACCCCAGTTGTAGAAAAATAAAAATTATAGAAATGACATGATTTTAGGTATGTTAGTGAGGCATAGGACAGACTCCTACACGCTGAAAAACGCTGTAACCACTTAACTAATTAAATTAAAAAACCTTAAAAACCCGATTTCTTCCCAAAGAAGAAGCAAATTTGTGTTGAATAACTTTAGGAAAGCATTTAATACAATATCCAGCCAATTTTGTATTCTCCAAACGAAAAAAACTTCCATCTCCTTCAGTACATTTAACACAAGATATTGCTAAAGTTGTTGTAGAGGAGCCTTCAGAATTCATTAAATTATGTAGAAATATAAAAATTTCGTTTAAAAATTTCAAAAGAAAAAATTTTTTTAAGGTTCCGAGAACTAAAAATTAAAAAACAAAAAAAATTTTATTTAAAAGTTTTGACTTTTGGCATTCTGTTTTTATTTATTTTTCTCTAAATTTCTAATTCTTGTTATCTTTTTTTCTCTGACCGTCTGCTGTTCTCTTTATTTTTCTTTATATTTCGTCGTTTTTAATAATTCTTTAAAATTTTTCTATTTTTCAAATTTTTAATTTTCTTCCTTTAGAATGCCTAAGAGGAACAAATTTCAACAAAATAAAATAAAAACTGAAGAGAAAAATGAGGAGGAAAAGAAGGATCAACAAAAGAAATCGTTTAAATTACCTCCTGGAAAAGACGAAAAATGGTGGGGTATGTTAATTTTTAATGAATATTTCTAATTAAATAAATTAAAAGATATAAGCACTTTTGGACCAGAAGATAATCCACATGGAATGGTTTGTGAATCTTCTTTTGCAACTCTATTTCCGAGATACCGAGAAAAATATATTAGAGAGGTTTCTTTTTATTTTTAAAATTTGAAAGTATTTTATTTTTAGACCCATGAATTAGTTTTATTTATATAAGGTTGAAATAGTTATAGTTAATCGGCTCTGATCTCAGACCCATGATTTTCCAGAGGCAGACCTTTCCTTGGCTTTCCCTTGAGCTTGATTTTCTTAACTCTCGAGATTTTTTTAAATAAATCTTGTGGAATTTGAAAATAAAATAAAAATCTTGTGGAGTCTATATTTATCTTTTGAGAATGATGAACTAATTTTTTAACGAATTTTAATTGTATTTTTGTCCAAGCTCCTTTTTCTCCAATCAAAATTTTATTAAATTGTTTTGATTAAATCTGCATTATTTTAATTTTATAATAAAAAATTTAGGTTTGGCCCCTTGTCTCAAAACTTCTGTCTGAACACCAACTTAAAGGCGATTTGGATTTATTAGAAGGCACAATGATTGTTAAAACAACACGTAAAACTTGGGATCCTTTTGTTTTGTATAAAGCTAGAGATTTGATTAAATTACTTGCTAGAAGTGTTCCTTTTGAACAGGTTTGTATTTTAATAATTTTGAAAAATTTTTAGTACTAAATTAATTTGGAGAATGAGTCTCTTTTTTAATCTTAATTTTTCAAAAAAAAATATTGTACATTTTTTTAAGTTAAAATTTATCACTTTTTTCGTCTCAATTTTACAATCTTTTAAATTCAAGACTATGAAAATATCCCATTAAATTTTTTTTTCTAAATTTTATAAAGCTGTTCAAATTTCACACAAATTTCACATTTTTATTTTTAGGCTCGCCGTGTACTCGAAGACCAAATATTTTGTGACATTATTAAAATTTCCTCAATGGTTCAAAACCGTGAAAGATTTGTAAAGCGTAGAGCCCGTTTAGTTGGCCAGAACGGGGCAACACTTAAAGCTATAGAATTGTTAACTGAATGTTATGTTCAAATACAGGTTTTTTAATTAAAATTTTTCTAAAATATATTTTTTTCTTTAAAAATATATTAAATTATAAAAATTTTTAATTTGGCACAAAAATAAAATTTTTGAAAAAAATTTTTATACCCTTACTAATGATTACTTACCGATTTTTAGTTAACTAGTTATCATGGTTACCATTTTCGATTCGAGCCGACGTTCGGTGCATTTTTTCGGGCTCGATCTTTCGAGTTTCGTTTCGAGCGAGCTGGCAACCCTCTAGTTATTAATTACTTAAATTTTTTTCTGGAATTCTTTAAAATTAATCTAACAATAAATTTAATTTTTCATTTTAAAATATATTTTATTTTTCGAGCTAAATAATTTTTATTTTTAGGGAGGAACAGTTTCCACAATAGGCACCCATTTTGGACTTAAACAAGTCAGGTTTGTTTTTTTTAATTTAATTTTAATTAATTAATTATTTAAAGAAATATAGTCCAAGATTGTATGAATAATATTCACCCAATTTACCATATAAAAACTTTAATGATTAAAAAAGAATTGATGAAAGATGAAAAATTGAAGAATGAAAGTTGGGACAGATTTTTGCCGAAATTTAAGAAAAAGGTTTGTTTTGTTAATTTATTTTTGGAAAATTTTTAAAATTCTTTTTTAGTTGTGATTTGAGTAAAAATTTTTCTCTTGAGAAATATAACTAATTTGTAAGGGATTGGGGAAAAATAAATAGAATAATAATTAAATTAATTAATTTACTAGTTTTTCTCTTTCTCTAACCTATTGCCTTATTTTTTAAATTTTATTATAAATTTAAAAAAAATTTTTTTTAATTTACACCTTTTCTATAATCTAAAAATTTCGAGGGTAATGAAATTTTTTCACTTGAAAAAATTATTTTTTCAAATTTTTTTTTCTAATAATTTTTCCTCAAAAAATTCCTCTATTTCCCTTACAAATTGCTTCATTTTTAAATTTTATTTTTTCATTAAAAAAATTTTTTTCTAAAGGTTCATCAAACCTCCAAAGAAGTCCGTTTAGCAAAGAAAACCAAAAAAGCAAAATGGAACAAAAAATCGGAATATACCCCATTCCCCCCACCACAACAGCCACGTAAAATAGATATACAAATGGAGACTGGAGAATATTTTTTGAATGAAAAAATAAAAGAAAAGAAAAAAATTTTGGAAAAAGAAGAAAAAGAAATTGAAAAAAGAAAATTAAAAAAAGAAGAAAAATTGAAAGAATTTATACCTCCAAAAGAAGAAAATATTAAAATTAAAAATAAAAATATTAAAGAGGAAGGAAAGGATGAATTAATTGAGAGGGTTAAAATGAAGGCGAAAAAGAGAAGGGAATTAATGGAGGAAATGATGGAAAGTTGAAGAAAAAAATTATTTTAAAAAAATATTTTGAAGAAAAAAAATAATATTATTTTTTTTGTTTGATATTAAAAATGTTAAAAAGAATATTTGTCGAAGAAAATTAAATTTTAAATTTTTTTTAATTTTATTTAAAAGATTATCATTAAAATAAGGCATAGTTCTAGTGAAAATAATTTAAGTGACTTAAACTTTTAAGTTTGCTAACTTAAAATTGGATTTTTTATTTTAATAGTCTTCTAGTTTTTTAAGTTTGATCTTAAGTTTATTCTTTTTCTTGTTTAAGTTTGAACTTAAGTTTATTTTTTTCTTGTTTAAGTTTGAACTTGAGTTTATATTTTTTCTATTTTAAGTTTGATCTTAAGTTTATATATTTTTTTCTTGTTTAAGTTTGAACTTAAGTTTATTTTTTTCTTGTTTAAGTTTGAATTTAAGCTTATAGCTTGAACTTAGCTTGATTTTTTTAATCTTGACAGAAAACTTGACTTAAGTTTACCAACTTGAATTTAAGTTTTATAAATTGAATTTAAGTTTCTAGCTCGATCTTGAACATAACTTTGTCAACCTGGACTTAAGTTCTTTCTAATTTAAGCATTGAATCCTATACTCACAAAAATCTTGTACTTTATCAATAATGTACTTAAAAATTTATTTTTACAAAATTTTTAAAATTAATAGTTTAATTTCTTCCAAAAAATGTGTTTGTGTTCCAAAGAGGCACGCTAGTTTCTCCTATTGTTTTTCAATCTTCTAGTGGTTTCTAGGACCATTAATCAAAATACAAAATCAAAAATTTGCTGATAAAATAATTTTTAGAAAAATTAAGCTCCTTCATAGAAATTCTTTAATTTGTCCAGGAGAAGTAACCAAAATTTCTTAACAATTTAAATATTTTCCAGGACAACTAAAACTATTTGGAGGAAGGGAGGGGGGAATGTCATTGTCTTTTCTTTTTTCAATTTTGATAAGCTAAAATTTTGTTTTAAGCACATTTGAAGGGTTTAATCAGTATTTGATAACAAAGGTGCGCCAAAAAATTTTTTGGATTGCGAAGACAGGAACACAAAAATTTTGGCGCACAGCAAACTATAATTATAAAAATACTAACAATACGGAAGGAAATTTAAAAAAGAAGCTGAGTTAATAAATTTAAATGTTAAATAATCATTTGTATGATTCATTGTGTATTGAATAAAAGAATAAAAATGATTACAATTAATAGTTATTTTAGTTAAAATGGTTTTTATTTCTGTTTAAATTTAGATTAATTTAAATTATATAGTATTATTTTTAACTTTGAACTTAAGTTTAATAAATTAAACTTGAATTTAAGTTTGAACTTAAATTTAATAAATTAAACTTGGATTTAGGTTTGAACTTAAATTTAATAAATTAAACTTGAATTTAAGTTTGAACTTAAGTTTAGAAAATTAAACTTTAATTTAAGCTCGAACTTGAATTTAATAAATTAAACTTAAATTTAAGCTTGAACTTAAGTTTAATAAATAAACTTGAATTTAAGTTTGATAGCATACTATAATTAAACTTCTTTTGCAACTTGAAGTTAAGTTAGTGAACTTAAGTTATTCAGAATTTAATTAAGCTTAAACTTAATTTTTCAACACAAACATTAATAATTTAAAAATAAAATAAACTTAAGATTGTTAACTTAAAATTTTTAAATTAAGTTGTAAAAATTTAATTTTCAATAGTAACAGATGTCCTATTTAACTACAATTTTTGCTTTTATTTTCATTATTTTCATTTCTACTTCAGTTCAAAATGGAGGTGGTGGAGGTGGAGGGGATAGTATTATTATTTCCCCTGATTTAATTTCTTTTCAGGTAATTAAAAAAGAAATTAATTAAATTATTATTATATAGAATGCCACTTTTTGGGCCTTATTTGTTGGGGCAGTTCTTGCGTTCGTCCTTGGATTTGGAATGGGGGCTAATGACGGTAATTTCTTTTTTAATTAGCAAATCTAGGGTTGAACTTAATTTTCCTAAATCAACTCTTTACTTTTTTTTAAATTTTACAGTATCCAATGCATTTGGAACTTCTGTTGGTTCTAAAGTACTTACGCTTAAACAGGTGTGTGTAGATCCTTAAAAGAAAAAATATAATCCGTTAAGGCATATATATTAGCCAGTATATTCGAAACTCTTGGTGCAATATTTGTTGGTTATAATGTAACAGATACAATGAGGAAAAGTGTTGTTGTATTGTCTGAATATGAAAATGATCCCAAAGCTCTTTTATTTGGGCAAATAGCAATATTAGGGGGTTGTTCTGGGTGGTTAATGATTGCCACATTTGCTGAATTGCCTGTGTCTACAACACATAGGTAGGAAATCATTTTAAAGGAATGATATTTTTGAAAATTTAATTAAGCTTGAACTTAAGTTTGTTAGTTTAAGTTTGAACTTGAATTTCCTAGCTTAAGCTTTAAATTTCGTAATCTTAAGTTTAAACTCAAATTTATGAGCTTAAGTTTGAAGCCAAGTGAGGTTTAAGATTGAACTTATTTTATAAACCTAACATACATTTAAGCTTGATCTTAAAATTTTAAGCCTGATCTTATGTTTTAATAAGCCTGAACTTATATTTTTGTAACTTAAGCGTTCTCTCAATAATTAATTTTTTCTAGCGTTGTTGGAGCAACAATAGGTTTTTCTTTTATGATGAAAGGAATATCAAGTATCCAATGGTGGGAAGTTGGAAAAATTGGTTAGAAAATTAGAAAAATATTTAAAAAATTTACTTAATTAAAGCGCTTTCTTGGTTTACTTCTCCCCTTCTTTCTGGATTTATTTCAAGTATTTTATATTTAGTTGTGGATATTAGTGTTTTGCGAAAGGAAGAACCTCTTGAGGCTGGTCAGTGGATTTTTAAATATTATTAGCATTTTCTTCGGGCTATACCGATAACTGTCGGTGATCCCCTTGATTTAACATCATGTTCAAGTTTAAGCTTAGAATAATTTATGTTTTGACTTTGAACTTGTGTAAACCCTTATTTTTAAACATACTTCAAGTTTGCAAACTCAATATTTTTTTCTTATTTTTATACACTTTCACCCTTAACAATTCAATTTATTTTTTCTCTTATAGGTCTTCGAGTATTACCAATTTTCTATTTCTTCTGTATTGCTTTCAACACTTTCACTATTAGTTATCAAGGCTCGAAAATTCTTGGTTTAGAAAGTATTCCTCTTTGGCTGGCTATTATTATTAGTCTATTAACTGCAATATTGGCAGCTTTAGTTATTCATTTTGTTTTAAAGCCGAGACTGAGTAGTTGGATACATCGTGAGTTGTTTTGTATTAGAAGCAAATTCTAATTAAACTTGAAACAATTCAAGTTCAAGCTTGGAAATATATTTTATTCTAAAAAATAAACATGTTTTCAAGTTCAAGCTTGAAAATATATTTTATTCTAAAAAATAAACTTGTTTTCAAGTTCAAGCTTGAAAATATATTTTATTCTAAAAAATAAACTTGTTTTCAAGTTCAAGCTTGAAAATATATTTTATTCTAAAAAATAAACTTGTTTTCAAGTTCAAACTTGAAAATAATTTTATTTTAGAAAATAAACTTGTTTTCAAGTTCAAGCTTAAAAATAAATTTATTCTGAGAACTAACTTTAATTTTAAGTTCAAACTTGAAAATAAATTAAAATAGGAAAACACACAATTGCTGTTGTTCGAGATGTTGTTCAGAGGAATGGTTCAATTCTTAGCCATCCCCAATTACCTATTATTAATAAAAGATTGGAATTTGATGGAAAAATAAGAACACATCTTGATGGGTCTTTTGTTATTGAAAGTAATTAATAAATTAATTAACTTTAAAATTTAATATTTTTAAGCTACCCACAGTTTGCCTGGAAATAATTATATAACAATACCTCTAGAAAATGATAAAAAGAATGGAAAACAAATTTGTAGAAGTATTTCCGAATTACCTGAAAAATATGGAGGGAATGTATTTAATGGGAATAATAAATTGAGGAAAAATAGAAATAGAGGAATAAGTGAAGCTGAAAGTGTTTTGAGTGTTGCTAATTATGTTCCTCAAAAATTAAAATTGTGTAAGTCTAACTTGAAATATTTTTGAAATTTCAAAAATTGTACCAATGAAAGTTAAAATTTGGCAATTTCGGTTCAAACTTGAAACTAATCTTTTTTTAAGATTACAAACTTGAAACAAATTCTTTCAGAAATTAAACTTGAAAGTTTTAAGTTCAAGCTTGAACTTGTTTCAAGCTGTAAGAAAATTTTAAATATTTTTGTAGCACCTCGTGGTTTTCTCAATTGGCTCCTCCCTGCTCACGATAGAAAAGAGGATGCAAAAACGCTTCAGCTTTTCAGCTCCATTCAGGTCTTTACTGCATGTTTTGCTGGATTTGCACATGGTTCTAATGATGTTAGGTGTGTTCAGTTTAATATTTTTCAAGTGATAAGTATTACAAGTTCAAGCTCCACAAAGTTTAATTTTGAGATTCTAAGTTTACAAACTTTTATTTTAAAAATCAAGATTAAACTTATATTTTTAAGTTCAAACTTAGAATTTTATTAACACCTACCAATAATTTTATAGTAACGCAATAGCCCCACTCACCGCCATGTTAGCTATCTACAGAGAGATGAGTGTTCAACAGAAAGAACCTACTCCTATTTATGTTCTACTTTATGGAGTCTTTGCAATGTGTGTTGGACTTTGTGTATTAGGGCATAAAGTGATTAAAACTGTTGGACAAAGAATGTCCTCAATACACGCTGCCAGTGGGTTTACCATTGAATTTGGTGCTGCCGTGACAGCTTTGCTAGCCAGTAAAGCTGGATTACCTATTTCTACAACTCATTGTTTGGTTAGTTTATTATTAAAGAGATCGAATAAAAAAGAACAAGTTTTAAGTGTAAACTTAATGATTCAAGTTTTAATTCCTTAAGAATCAAGTTCTAAATTTGAACTTAATAATTAATGTTTTAATCCGCTGAGAATCAGGTTTAAGTTTAAACTTGAAATTTAAGTTTTAATGCATTAAAAATTAAGTTTTAAGTGTAAACTTAAAAATTCAAGTTTTAATCCCTTAAGAATCAAATTTCAAGTTCAAACTTAAAAATTCAAGTTTTAATTCCTTAAGAATCAAGTTCTAAGTTTAAACTTAATAATACAAGTTTTAATTCTTTAAAAAATTAAGTTTTTTAAGTTTTAAGTGTAAACTTAAAAATTCAAGTTTTAATTTCTTAAGAATCAAGTTCTAAGTTTAAACTTAATAATACAAGTTTTAATTACTTAAGAATCAAGTTTTTCTAAACTTAATAATTCAAGTTTTAATTCTTTTAAAATTAAGTTTTAAGTGCAAACTTAAAAATACATAAATTAATTTCTTTTTCTAAAGGTTGGCAGTGTGGTAAGCGTTGGATGTATTAAATCAGGTGAAGGCATTAAATGGTCAATTTTTCGGAACGTTGTATTCTCCTGGCTAGTTACTTTGCCTGTTGCTGCCTTCATATCTGCAGGTAATATTTTTAAAAATATTTAAATTATTTAATAATTTAAAGGAATTATGCTGCTTTTGAAGTTTCTTGTTTTATAAGCAGTAAAAAATTTTTTGTACAACAAAAATAGATTATTTATTTTTCTGTCAGATCTCTTGTTTACTATCATCTTTTAAAAATTTTTCCATGTTCTTAATTCATTTTTATACTATAAAAATTTTTTTCGAATAAAAATACTTTTTATGTGAGAAAGTCCTTCAAAAGTACAGCACGTGTAATCGATGAATAGATTGTGGCGATATGTGAATAAGAATAATGGGGGTAGCACGGAGATGTTGTCATTGTAGTCGATTTTTTATTCCATCCTCACATGCATTTTATTGCCGGAAATGCTTTAGAAATAGTTCAAGCTTCGATTAAAATTATTGCGAAGTTTAAATTTACTTTTCAAGCTTGAACTTTATAAAGTTTCAAGTTGTATTTTATAATTTATTTTTAAAGTTTGAACTTAATAAATTTAAAGTTTGAACTTAGAAACAATACTTTTCAAGTTTGAACTTGATAAAGTTTCCAAGTTGTATTTTATAATTTATTTTTTAAGTTTGAACTTAATAAATTTTAAGTTTAAACTTAAAAAGTTTTTAAGAATAAAACTTGCTTAATATTTAAATTGAGAATATAAAACAACTTTAAATTCAAGAATAAAATTTGCTTCAGCTTCAAAATACTCGTTTGCTTCAGTTTAAATATTAAAAATATTTTCAATGTTAACCTTCTAAAAAATTTTTTTATTCAATACAAAATTTATTTTTTAAATAATGTTACAACAACAACAAAACCATCATCCTGGAGCAGATATGTTTCTCCTTTTCTACATTAAACGCCGGATTGAAAAAGACTCCAACCTAGAATGGTTTGAAGCTCCTTATTGCGCAGAAGATGATCCCCCTCAAGAATGGTTGCTTCTCGAACAAGCAGCACTTATTTTTGAGCATGATAATCGAAAAGAAATTGAAGAAACAATGATTAATAGACTTGTACCTTTGGGAAGACTTAACTTTAGAAGCTTCCGAATGGTTCTTCAAAAAGTTTCAAAAAATCCTTAAAAATTATTTTTAAGATTGTCCGTCACTATCTAGACTTATTAAGTCAACGAATGGACAAATCCATTGCTTTGTTAGCGCTGATAGCTTTTACTGGTTTATATGCTAGACGATTAGCTGAATTGGATGCTTCACAATGTGGGGAAGAGGATGAAGAAAATTCTAATAAATTGCCGAGAGATTATAGACGTGAAATTTATCAAGTTTCAATTTATGGTTCGGGTATTTTGCTATCTACGATTGAGGGTTCTTGGGTGAGTATTAAAATTTTATAAATTGAGAAGTTAACTATGGAAACTTAAGTTTTACCATTTTAATTTAAAACTTGTTTCAAGTTTTAGATCAAACTTTCAAATTCAAGTTTGCAAACTTTAGGTTTACCAACTTAAAAAAATTTTTGGTACTTGTGAGTTATCCCAAACCAGTTTTTGCGGACATATTTTGCGGACTCTTTTGTATACACAGAATGGTCAGTCTTCCTCCTTTCCTCAATTTCACTCTATTTCGCTTTGGCATTATTTAATAAGAGGCAATAAAGAAAGGATTATTTTTAAATATAAATGACCGATTTTTAAATCATTTTTGCCTCTCATTGAATAATGCCATGGTGAACTCTCCTCCATTTCACTGTGTTAATAGAGGCAATAAAGAGAGGCAACAAAAAAGGATTATTTTTCTGCAATGCCATCAAATATGAAAATAACAGATCAATCTTTTCATTTTTATTTACATATTTCAGTCATTTAGAAATATTTTTCTAGGATGATAAGCACCAAACTCTGCATTTTGAACTAATGGTCCGTTACTTCGTGTACGTACCTTAACAGAGTCTTACCAAATTAACCAGACACGGCCCGGAACAGCTTCATATTTTTGACAAAACTAACCAAATATGGTATAAATCCAGCTTAAAATGGTCAAGGATTCCGTAAAAAAGGGGTGGGGATAAACTATTATTACCGAAAAGCTGCACTGAAAGCACAGATCGGTCCACATTTTGTTTATTCCGTATTTTGGTCGTTCCATGATTTGGTAAGACTGTGATTGTCACGGTTTTTGTGGACGTATTTTGCGAACTCTTTTGTATACACAGAATGGTCAGTCTCCAGGGATGGGCGAAATCAAAAAATAAAAAGCGAAATGCGAAATGCGAAACTTTTTTTAAAAAAATAAAATGCGAAATGCGGAATGCGAAACTTTTCGCGCCAAAAAATGCGAAAAATGCGAAAGATGCGAAATGCGAAAATGCGAAATTAGTTAAAAAATTTTAGAAAAATTTTGAAATTAGTATAGTATACCGGAGGCAAAATTTCGATAAGAAACACAACAATTCGATTTGTCTCGGCGAGCTGAGTCGAACGATACCACTCTCTATTCACTGAACTCCTGTCAACCGAGATATAGGTTCCCGAATATCGAAAAACCATAGGGGCATTGAAGGTTCGGGGAATTGCAGGTTCCGATTCGAGTTCGTGATCGGGGTCATTATTTTAAATCCCGATACCGATGATGACCAATCCTGACCCGTAGTCAGGACCGGGCTAGGGGTTGTTATTCCAAAATCCCGATCCCGATTTGGGTCGGGATCCCGATCCCGCTCAACTCTATTTAGAATAGTGAAAATTGCTCGTACTCGATTTCCATTTTTTGCGCCACAGGCAAAATTCCGAGAATTTTGAAGTCTAATAATTCTTCCAAGGAACTCTTCAGATCTTAACATCCCTCTTAATCTCAAATCCCTTTCTTGCGCCGCAGGCGAAAATTTTTGAAAATTCATTACTAAATTAGAATTTTTAATTTTTTTCATTTTTGACATATTAAAAAAAATAAATTCACAAATTTAAAATTAAAATCAGAATTTAAAAATTTTTATTTTTGGAAGAAAAAATTACCTATTTCCAAACCCTGGATTCGAACCCAGCCCCAAAAAACACCAAAGAAAGCAAAGTCAGTCAACTTAACCACTCCACCATCGACCAACTAAATAAATGATGGAATAATTTTTCTATATTTCTTTCCCTTTAAAAATTTAATGTAAAAATATCTAAAAAAATATAATACTAAAGCAAAAAGGCGAAACAAATTTCGCATTTGGACCAAAAAGCGAAATGCGGAATGCGAAACTTTTCGCGCCAAAAAATGCGAAAAATGCGAAAGATGCGAAAATGCGAAATCGCCCATCCCTGGTATCAACCCAGCTCAAAATGGTCAAGGATTCCGTAAACAAGGGGTGGGGATAAACTACTATTACCGAAAAGCTGCACTGAAAGCACAGATCGGTCCAAATTTTTTTATTCCGTATTTTGGTCGTTCCATGATTTGGTAAGACTGTGATTAGTCACGGTTTTCGTGGACATATTTTGCGGACTCTTTTGTATACACAGAATGGTCAGTCTTCCTCCTTTCCTCAATTTCACTCTATTTCGCTTTGGCATTATTTAATAAGAGGCAATAAAGAAAGGATTATTTTTAAATATAAATGACCGATTTTTAAATCATTTTTGCCTCTCATTGAATAATGCCATGGTGAACTCTCCTCCATTTCACTGTGTTAATAGAGGCAATAAAGAGAGGCAACAAAAAAGGATTATTTTTCTGCAATGCCATCAAATATGAAAATAACAGATCAATCTTTTCATTTTTATTTCATATTTCAGTCATTTAGAAATATTTCTCTAGGATGATAAGCATCGAACTCCGCATTTTGAACTAATGGTCCGTTACTTCGTGTGCGTTGCTTAACAGTCTTACCAAATTAACCAACACGGTCCAGAAACAGCTTCATATTTTTGACAAATCTAACCAATTATGGTATAAATCCAGCTTAAAATGGTCAAGGATTCCGTAAAAAAGGGGTGGGGATAAACTATTATTACCGAAAAGCTGCACTGAAAGCACAGATCGGTCCACATTTTGTTTATTCCGTATTTTGGTCGTTCCATGATTTGGTAAGACTGTGATTGTCACGGTTTTTGTGGACGTATTTTGCGAACTCTTTTGTATACACAGAATGGTCAGTCTTCCTCTTTCCTCAATTTCACTATATTTCACTATGGCATTATTCAATGAGAGGCAAACATGATTTAAAAATCGGTCACTTATATTTAAAAATAATCCTTTCTTTATTGCCTCTTATTAAATAATGCCATAGCGAAATAGAGAGTGAAATTGAGGAAAGGAGGAAGACTGGCCATTCTGTGTATACAAAAGAGTCCGCAAAATATGTCCGCAAAAACTGGTTTGGGATAACTCACAAGTAAACTTTCAAATTCAAGTTTGCAAACTTTAGGTTTACCAACTTAAAAAAATTTTTTTTCAAGACTTAAGATTTAAAACTTGCTTCAACTTTGTTTTCAAGTTCAAACTTGAAGTTTAAAAAATTATAAGTTCATTATTTAAGCTTAAAAACGGTAATTTTCAATTTCGTTCCCCCCCTCCTTTTTCCTTCCTCAAAGTATTAAAAAATGGTCAGTCTGAACAACAATTGTAGAACCCATCGAGCTGTGTCGAATGACACCAAAATCAATAAAATCCGACTTGATTTGACCGAAATACAGACCCCTGAAAATTGAACAACCACAGGGGCGATTTTTTGAAATTAAAGAAGTTTACACAAATGATAGCTCATTCGAAAGAGCTCATAGAGCTGAGTCGCATGACACCAAAATCAATGCAAACGGACGAGTTTTGACATAGTTATGACATTATTCAGATCTACCGGAGTCGGCGACTTATGTCATAACTTTGTCAAATCTTGTACAATCACATTGAATTTAGTGTCAACCGACTCAGCTCGACGAGCTCTTTCAAATGAGCTATTATTTGTATACTTTTTCGTCCTTTTTGGTTTTTAGCCCCTGTGGTTGTTCAATATTCAGGGGTCTGTATTTCGGTCGAATCTAGTCGGATTTTGTTGATTTTGGTGTCATTCGACACAGCTCGATGGGTTCTACAATTGTTGTTCAGACTGACCATTTTTTAATACTTTGAGGAAGAAAAAAGGAGGGGGGGAACGAAATTGAAAATTACCTTAAAAACTTCTTTAAGTTCAAGCCTAACACAACCTTTTTAAGTAAAAACTTGTTCAAGTTTTAGATTAAACTTAAAAAACTAAGTTTGTAAACTTCAAGTTTACCAACTTTTCTTAAAATTTTTTCAAAACAAGTTTAAAATGCTTCAAGTTTATTTTATTAAAACCTAACAATGAAAGTTTCCCAATTAAAATATGCTTCAGGTTTAAATTGTTTCTATTTTCTTTAGGAAAGTTTCTGTACTGACATTGCTAAAGTTGTTAATCAAATTGTTTTACAAAAACAACAACAATCACTTGCTCGGTCTAATAACAGAATTTATGGGCTAGCTGCAGTTTGTGGGGTTGGCGCCATTGTTGCTTCATGTCTTTTGATTCGCCGATTAAATTTATAATGAAAATAAATTCTTTAAATTTGATTTTTCTCGAGAATTTCTCAAAATTTATGGTTTACTTTACTCAATTTTTCAACCAATTTTTGATTTTTTGTACATATATTTATTCAAAATAAACTAAAATTATACATATTTTTAACGTGGATATACTTTTTCATAAATAATATGTGTATGTAGAAGCATTCGGTGAGTAAGCGTCGACATGTGTAACCGTGATTCCAAATGACTTTCGTTCAAAAGAATCCACTCGCGAACCATCTAGAATTAAATTGATAATTTAATAGTGTATTTATCATTTTTTTCGTCCTAAACTTTCTGAGAAGTTATCCAAAAACGCTTAGAATCCTAATGATTTGCGGCATTGTACCATTTTTGGTGTACCATTTTGTCTTATTTTCCCCGTGTACCCTTTTGTCGGTAACGAGATTTTAGATAAAATGAAGTTTACATTTTTAATTTTAGTTACCAATTTGATATTCTTTTAAGGTAAAATTTCAAAATATCGATACAAGTTATAAATTCATTTTATCTATTTTTACTTCGGTATTTCACAACAATTTTTGTTTATTTTTCTAAAA